AATGCACAACTGCTGTCAAAGCAGCAAAACGTAACTATTTCTTATCTCAGACCTCCAAAAATCTAAATGACCCCAACAGATTCTGGAAAACCATCAAATCTCTCTCAGGCACCCCCCAATCATCTGACCTCCCATCACAACTTCTCATTAACTCTGTTCCTGTGTCAAATAAGCACGAGATCCTGAACTGTCTCAACAAACATTTTGTTGCTTCTATTTCTTTATTTGACACAGTTACTAATAGAAAATCAGCCACTTCACTTAATAACCAAACTTCTACAAGTCAATCCTCAGTTAATCACACCTTCTCTGTTTCTCCATTCTCAGTCAGTGAGGTCAATAAAATGTTAAAAGATCTTGATCCTAAAAAATCTGCAGGTCCAGATGAACTTCCACCTTATTTCTTAAGTCTGGCCGCTCATATCATCACAGTCCCTGTGACCCACATCTTTAACCTGTCTTTTTAAGACAAAACTCCATTCCAGACACTTGGAAAACAGCCTTTGTTCATCCTTTGCTGAAGGGAGGAGACCCCACCTCACTGAACAACTATCGACCAATCTCTAAACTCTGCATTTTAGCCAAGGTTCTAGAAAAACTGATAAACTCTCAAATCAAAAATTACCTGGACTCATTTAACATCTTACCTCCACATCAATCTGGTTTCAGGAAACAACACAGCACAACCACTGCTTCACTGAAGGTTCTTAATGACATTGTTGAAGCACTGGATGCTAAGGATTATTGTGCTGCACTTTTCTTAGACCTGTCTAAAGTGTTTGACACTGTGGATCATAACATCTTGTGTCATAAACTCTTAAGAAATCGGTTTCTCAGAACACACCATTGGTTGGTTCGCTAACTATCTCTCAGACCAATGTGTTCAACATAATGGTACTTCCTCCAGTTATTTAACAGTCAACAATGGTGTACCACAAGGCTCAGTCTTAGGACCCACCCTCTTTACAATCTACATACATAATGTAGGTAAAAACATCCCTAATGCATCCATACATTTCTATGCTGATGACACAGTTGTTTATTGTCGAGCTAAAACTGTTGATAAGGCTTTCCAGCTTTTGCAATCTGAATTTGACAACATCCAGACAGATTTGTTCCACCTCAAACTTGTCCTAAATGCAAACAAAACCAAAGGGATGCTTTTTTCAAACAGGACGTCGGTCCCAGCAGTTCTTCCTCCGATTTTATCCTCAAATGGTGTCCCCATTGAGTTTGTTGATTCCTATAAATATTTGGGTATCTTGGTCGACTCACATCTCTCTTTTAAGCTCCATGTGGAAAACTTGGTAAAGAAACTGAAAGTTAAACAGGGTTTCTTTTTCAGAAACAGATCCTGTCTAACCCTGAATGCTAGAAAACGCCTTGTATCTGTGACCTTCCATCCCTCCATTGATTACGGTGACATTATTTACATGAACGCACCTGCAAGAACCTTGCAGATGTTGGATACCGTCTATCATGGTGCATTAAGATTCATAACTGGCTGTGATTATTGTACCCACTAGGGCTGCAACAACGAATCGATAAAATCGATAAAAATCGATGATTAAAAGCGTTGGCAATGAATTTCGTTATCGATTCGTTGTGTCGCACGATTATGCATCTTTCACGGCGCTGCGGAGTCGTTTTGTTCACGGGCAGTTCATTGTCAATGTTGACTGACTGAATAAAGTTTGAAAAAAAAACCTGCAGCGCGAGTTGAACAGAGCGAGGGGGGAGGAGGAAGCAGAGCAGAGTCTGTTTTCAAAGGAAATTTAAGTAAATTTTACAAATGACCAACGCAGCGAAAACTGTTCGACACAAGTCCTCCAAAGAGTGGGAGAACTTCACAAAGATAAAAAATGAGAAACATGCCGCTTTGAAAATCGCCGACATGACAGAACCACGGAGATAAAACGTAAACATGTCGGAGTCACGAGGAGGAGGAAGGAGCTGCAGCTGATACAACTCTTCATGTGTTGCAGGTGAGTCTCTACAATTTAACACATTGTTCTGTTTCAAGAGAGAAAACGGAACATCAGTCTCTTTGGTAGATGAAGCTGCTGTTTGTTTGTTTGTTTGTTTGTTTGTTTATCTGATTAATGACGGTGATAGAGAACGTGTGTTACATTTTATTTAATTTAATTGGTACACGCAGTGTTTAAATGTGATTATAAATAAATCTAACACAAAGATAATAATTTAATGATTAAGCTTCAACTTTTAATTTGCTGGCAAAGTCTGAAGACACTGCAGGTATGGCAGGATGAATTGCATTTAAACAGGAATTAAAGTAATTTATTACATCTACTCAAATGTGTGTAATTAAGTATTTTATATGTGTGTGTGTGTGTGTGTGTGTGTGTGTGTGTGTGTGTGTGTGTGTGTGTGTGTGTGTGT